TGTGTGTGTGTGTGTGTAGGGTGGCAGGAAAACACTCCTTAGAATCATTAAGGATCGTGGAAGCATCTCTGCAGAGCCTGGCTCGCCCCTATAGTTCCTGAACCTTTGAAAATTATAATTTTTGTTTGTTTTTTGCACCTGGAACTATATTAAGTACCAAATCCAGCTTTAATTCCTGAGTTCCTCAAAACATTCTTGATCCCCCTGGGAAAGTTCCTGTAGTGGAAATGTCCTCTTTTAGGTAAAAAATGTTGTTTAATTTTTTTTAAATTAAATAATCTCGAACATAGTCTTTTAATTTCAGGGGAAAAAAAAACATTATAAAGAAATCACAATAAAACATTACAATACCAGAGGTCCATTTAATTGAGTGCAAATGTACAATCGTCAGCAGAACATTCATTGCGCTACATTTATAGTAAGCGACAGACAGAACCCTGACAAGAATCCACTCACACAAACACAACACAAAAAGGACTGATGAAAACTATAAGTCCAGTATGACTGACTTCAAAATGTTTCTTACATAAAGGTAATGGCTGCATTTCCCTAGATATATATTTTTTAACTCTTCATGTGTTTAGTGAAGCTGCAATGGCTATGACATAATAATATAAAGCTCTTTTTTATCCACCTTTCTAAACCGTACCTCACTATAAAACTCAAGTCCCCTTGTAGCTGATTTGTAACTCTTACACAAGTAGTATGAAATTCTCTGTAACTCATACAAATTATATTTGTAACATCTCACATATGTTTTATCAAAGCCACAGCTGTATCTTGGATATTTGTTGGAAAAGGAGATGGGAAGCAGCAGAACGAGCCACAGTGGCTGGGTTACTGTAAGTTATTGTGCAGTATTGCATGAGACATTAGCCTACTTTTGTTAATTATTTTGGACAGTTGTGTGTTTGTCATTAATTTAAGTTTAAAAGGAGGTAAAGTGTCACCCCGCAGAACTGTTCTCCGGCATATTGCAGTTAGACCACAAATATTGCACTAACGCACATTCACAGTATGTTTTTGGCTGTTGCATTGCAGAATATCCTTCTCGTGTGCACACTGGTTGTTGCGTGTGCATGTGTGTTCTAGGCTTCTTCATCACTGCTACACCAGGTAGGTCCATTCGCTGGGTGTGCGTCCATACTGTAAGAGAGCAAAAGGTCGTGACAAGGTTACAAGAGAGTCCTCCGGGGGGCCGAGCAGTTAGCAAAAAGAAAATCTCACGTCACTAGAGCACTAAACTTCTCTCGCTCCCGCCGCTGCTTAATTGCGAGCAAAAGCACAAATCAAAAAATGAAATCAAATATCCGTGAGCAAATCTGCAAACTCAGCCAGCACCAGAACACAGCACAACAGAGAAAAGAAACTATAATAAAAATCAAAACAAAATGTTCCCCAATCCGTGACAGCCGCGGAGACAAATCCAATTATTTGTGTCTCATGTTGCAAATTTGTTCTAATGGTCGAAGTGAGAAAGTAAATAAACGCCTGCGAAGGGGAAACAAAAGAATGTGATTTCTAATTAACTTGAAAGAGGAACAGCAGGGCGACTTAGTAAACCCATCTTTCATCTGCTGCCTCAGACCACTCGTTTGTTTGTTGCACAGTGTTGTCTTCAAGAGGGGCGGGAGGAGGAGTGTGTGTGGGGGGATAACACTGCACTGCTTCCCTCCAAATGAAATGTCAACAGATTTAACAGCGCTGCGGAAGGAGCGCAGCGTTTTCCAGCGTTTTGTCGTTTTTATTGTTCATTAAGCTTCACTGCCGCCCCTTTTCCCTCCCCCCCGTCAAATCTTCTTCCTCCTCCTCCTCTCCCACTTGTTCGAGGCTGCATTTGCAGCATCTTGGCTTTGAAGATCACAAAAGGCTGAGGCAATAATTGGGTTTGTGCAATTACAGCGAGCTTAATGAGAGAATTCAGGAGTTTGTCTTGCCCCTATCTCCAACTCTCCACACTCCGCCATTAGGCCCCGGCAGCTGTCTCTCTCTCCCTCAGAAGCACTGTCGACGGAGGCCGATGTTATCGTATATAATGATGTGGTCAACGCATTCATAACCCACATGCACACAAGGCCTGGGTGATGGAGAGAGCAGATATGCTAATGGCCTGCCCCAGACTGACCAAGGAAGACAAAACAACAAAAAACACAGATGCAGCAGAAAGTAAAGAGAAGGAGAGGGAGACAAAGCGAAAGAAAAGAAGAGAAAAGTCATTAGTTGAAGAGATAAGGCAGATCGACTAATCAAAGTGTTTAGAGGACATTTAAGAGATCAGGAAAGGGCCACTATCTGCTCATGTAATTCAGATGTGTAAGCCTGCATGGCATCCAGTGCAAAACCAGTTTATGATTCATAATCAGCTTGTCATCAAAGGACACTCAGAAAAGGACACACTAACCTTTAACTGTGCCCCAGTCTGGAGTAGTTATCTCTTTGCAGATTCAAATCATTTTGTTCGGCTTAGTTCCAAGATTTAAAATCAATAACTATATGTAGTATGTGCATATCACAATTCAGAACGCTGATGAAAAGGCTGTGTATGCCTTAGGTTCAGTTGTGGATTTTTAAGTAGTGGCGGAAGAAGTATTCACATCCTTTTCTTTAGTAAAAGTACTAATACAACAATGTGAAAATACTCCATTACACTACTTTTAGTGCCTTTATTATAGTGACAGCCGATAGACAGGAAAAAAATGACACACAGCTAAGGGCCACAGGTCGGATTCAAACCCTGTGCCGCTGCAGCAAGGACTCAGCCTCGGTACATGGGTCACCAGCTCTACCCACTGAGCTATCCGGGCACCCTGTTTAGACATTATTAGATTGTTAACACTGATGGATCAATAAGTACGTAGCATTTTACTGCTGAGCTGGTCAAGGTAGAGCTAGTTTTAAGTACTCTCTATACAGTTAGGTATTTTAGTCCAGTGGTTCCGCACAAACGGGTCAGACCCCCTCCAAAGGGTCAAAAGATAAATACTAGGGAGTTATTAATGGGGAAGTCAGACGAGACACTGTACTGAACATGTCCAGTCAGCTCTACAACTTAACAGGAACTACAGAGACTAAAGTTAAAAAAGGGTTCCAAGTCAGTTTTGTCATCTTAAGTTTCAGAAGATGGAAGATTATTAGGTTTTCAACAGTGCGTTTTTTAACAAAGCATCTTAAAAAGTTAGGGATTTGGCTGAAGTTTGGTGGACAGATAACACTTGCCCTAAGGATTTTTGTGTTTTAGGTTAGGTTCTGGTGCCGGTGATATACAGAAAAATGGAAAAAGTTTGAGTGTGTAACTAGATAGGTCATTTGTTGTGACTCTTGTCTGGAAAAAGAAGCTTTGTTTGCTGAGTATGAAATTCAAAATCACTTCAGATCATGTGTTTAAAGCAGAGAGGCACCAACAGTTTTCCAGTTTTCTGAATGACATACAAGACTTACAAGTCATCCACAACTGCTGTTTTTTGGAAACTTGATCTTTGAAGACCTTACAGAGGCTGCAGTTTTGCTAAATTAAGATTTAGCGTGCGCTGTACTGAGATCCTGACATCCCAGTGCAAGTGATAAAGTAAGGATCACGTTCAAGCTCATACCCCTACTAATAATAACCTCGTTACACAGCACAATAACAGACAGTCAGCGATACATAACACGCTCATTAACACAAACCAGGCCTTCAGCAAAGAACATTATGAATCTGTTTAAACCTGCAGTGCTGCATAGACTGTAGTGTAGGCCATGTACAATATTACGGAGACATTACTCATTACCTAATAAGATATTTCACTTATTAGCTACTTACAGGCAAGATAATGTATGCAGTGGGTGTACAATGAATGAGGACCAATGAGGGTTTGCTCATAAAATAACAACTTAATGCTTTTATCTCATTGAGTTACATAATAACCACTCATAACAGTCCTGCAATGCAATTATGGAGATGCGTGATAAGTTAATATTTGGAGGAGAACATTTGTTTTTGTTAGGTCTCTCATCAACCATATTTTCAATGTATCTAATTATTTCTCCTTTTCAGTGAAGCCTCTTTATTGCTGGTTAGTGAGCACTAACAAGGCTGACATGTGACAATGTATAAATGTTTTCATCTAGTCAGACAGCTAGTGCCACTCGCACCCCCACCTTTTACTTAGAAGGATGCTGTTCCTTCAAATTGTTCTCCTACAATCACATCGCTGAATGCTTTATAAAATAGAGACCTGAGGGTGACGGGAGTGTAAAGAACACAGATGCTCAACAAGCTGTTACTAAGCTAGGCAACACATCTGTGGGATGTGTGTGTATATGTGTGTGTAGTGTGTGTGTGTGTGTCTGCATCCACCAACCTGTATATCTGACAGTTCTTTTGAAATCCGTGAAGTCAACTGTGAGTTTTTATCCTGACTGGGGATGTGCAAGTTCTAAAACACACAAAAAGACACAATTTTAATAATTTAATCTGCTCTGTGAACTGTTTGTTACAATTTAAATTATGGGAACATAAAGAATATTAAGTAAACATATTATGATATTAAAACCAAGTAGCCACAAGGTCCTGACAACCTTCTAAAGATAAACATCCATGTGGTCACAAGAGACTGTAAGCCTCATTCATCAAGGCACTAAGCTTCTAAAAGTTTTAAAACTATTCACAGATAACTACTTTCTATTAAAATGTGCTTCTTTCATATGAAACATGTAATCAAATAAAGAACAGCATTACTTTTTTTACAGTGTTACTTTGGGCTCTAGGCACAAAGTCCAACTTCCTGTAAGTTATCATTAGGCAGAAGATGAGAGGGCAAAATGGTGAAATATTATAGGCTGCAACCGACTCGCTCATGCTCTCTTTCCTAGTGTGTAGGAGAAACTACGGTGGCTGCAAAACTTGTTGGCTAATGGGCCAATATTGTAGCTACTATATATAAAAGGCCTGTGTTTGGTTAGTCCCTTCTGGGCTATCCTGTTGCACTCTACTATGACATTCATTGTTTGTTTCATCATTTAAATCTATTTTCATACAAACATAAACCTTGATATAAAATATCTAATGTCTAATAACACTTTATATTATTGGCTTTGATGTATATTAGTGAACAGAGAGTTACATACAGTGTATATTTCTCTGGTGCTCTTTCTCTTACCTCTTCCTGGTAAACAATGTGTCCTATGGGGCAGATCATGCAGGCAGTACCCGAGCCAAACATCTCTTTGACCCGCTGTTGCTTTATAGCAGAGCACAGCTGGGCCATGGTCAGGTAGCGCTCTTTCACCTCAAACTCACCCTGGGCACAGAAGAGAGCGGACAGGACCAGAGGAAATGTGAGGCCAAGTTCGGAATATTTATCCATGCACGTTTTAAGGTTTTATCTTTCTCACCCATTTCCTGGTTAGTTCCAGGACGCTCTGTCGGGTTATACCTGGGAGTATGATACCATCCAGAGGTGGAGTTGCAAGTTCCTCCTCTGAAAACAAAATAAGTTCATAAACAAAGCAAAAGACAACGTAAAAATGAAAATGATTGAACTGGAGATGCTGTGTCATTATGCTGTAGTGACATTGTTCTGCCAGTAGAGGTCACATTTGTAAAAATGTTTTGTATCTAAAGCACATTACATAATCTCACTATGAGTCTACAGCACAGCAAAACAGCCTATGATTGGCCAAGTTCTAGTGTGACTAACCTCCATCCTCATTGATCCAGTACAGGAAGATGTTCATGGTTCCTGCCTCAGTGATCTGATGGTCCTCTCCATAAAGCCACAGCACCTGCTGACACCCATAATCCTCTGCTTCGTACTGGGCGAACAAAGCACCTCCGTAGTTCCTGCAGAAATCCACAGCAACAGTTACAACTAATTTAGCACCTACAGAGCTGCCCTATTGACCTAAAGAATGTGCATATAAGAGCTGTTTGGCAAAGTAATGCCGCATGATGCTCTTCATCTTTAAATTTGGTGAAATTTGTGCAAGGACACAAGCATATTTTGTGTTTTTTGGGAGGGCAGAAGGATCAAAAGCTTGATTTCTCTGCATCTTACATATACCTACCATGTGCGCTTGAATGATAAAGTGTATAAAACTAAATAAGAATACTGATTTTATATCAGAAACAACATGGATATTTTCAACAATGAATGAGTCTAGTGCTAAAGATTTTTCACCACTTGTCTTTAAGGATTTAACACCCAGGTATTGGAGTTGAGTGCACTGATGGATTATCAGTGAATACAAATTAAACATGCATACAGTATGTGTCTACCCACCCTCCCATCTTGCAGTCTCCAGTTCCTCCTTTCCAGGCCCGTGTGAACTTTGGGTCAGCCCACAAGGACACGGCCTGTGTCTCGGTGTTGAAGTAAGGGCACACTTGACACAAGATCACATACAGCAAGGCATGGCCGGGCTTCATTATAGCCAGAGAGGGCTACCATGGGTACACAAACACATAGGGGTGATTAAGAGGATTAAAAAAACATACATCTTCTGCCTCAACAAATGAATGCAGCACTTCATGATCCTCCTTACCTCAGTGCCGATAAATGTTGGTCTGATGTACAGACTAACAGAGTCTGAGCGAGGAACCCATTCCTGTTCTACCTCTATCAGTTGTCTGATACACTCCAGAAACTCTGACTGATCAAAGGCCTGGAGGAGGTAGGGGGGTGGAGAAAGAGAAACATAAGGAGAGTGGAGGTTGAGTGGCTGAAAATAAAAGAACGAAGGTAGCTATGGTACTTAGATGATCAGAAGTAGAAGATTCAGTTGAAGTTGTAGCTGAGGTTACATTTTGAAGGCAAAAAAAGTCATTTGTTCATCACTGACACTTTCATCAGTCCATCCATTCATGTCTCCATTCATTCCTCACATCCATCTTACAGGTAGACAAGCTCTCTTGGCAGAGTTGGACATGCGGCTCATGTTGAGCGTCGGTCTGAAGAGACGCAGCTGGTTGTCATCACCACGGTATGCCTTCATTCCCTCAAAGAGCTGGCGAGAAGAGAAGAAACATAAAGAAAAGTAATATTTGAATTTCAAATATACTGAGCAACCCAGAGGAGGATTTCCTGAGCATGGAGTTAGTTAAGGGCCATACTGTAGCAAGGATTTCAAAAATACTGAGGTCATGAGTTTTGAGTCCATATTTTAAATCTCAATAAATTGCATGGTCAATTATATTTGCTTAAAATTGTATTTAAATTGAGCTGCTCGGGCACCTGGTTAGCTCAACGGGTAGAGCTGGCGACCCATGTACTGAGGCTGAGTCTCTGCTGCAGCGGCCCAGGGTTCGAATCCAACCTGTGGCCCTTTGCTGCGTGTCATCCTCTCTCTCTACCCCCCTTTCCTGTCTATCTTCAGCTGTCACTATCATAAAGGCAATAAAAGCTTACAAATTAAAATGTAAAAATAAAGTAAAATACTTTAAATAAAAATAAATAAATAAATTGAGCTGCCCTTTCAAGAAAATTCAAAATTCACATCTAGAACTAGAAAATGGAGGAAATTACAAATCCATAAAATAACGTATTACAGGTTTTGTGAAGGTCTGAATGCTGTTTCAAAACCCTCTCCATGTTGCCCAGAATACAATTCTGGTGGAGAAAAACGAAATACTGTATTTATTTAGTGTCATGCAAGTATTAAAATTTTAACATATTGGGTCTAAAAATAGTTTGCAAAATAGTTTAATGAATAATAAAAAATAAAAAAAATCTGACTGCACTGCAATATCAATATCATTAACAAACTTGTGGCATTTATATATTATAAATTATATATTGTCTTTGGTTTTATTTGGTTTTGTGGTAGATGAATGTTTTAGATGGGGTAATAAATGTATTCAGTTCGGTTTAGGTGGTTAGTGATCTTTATGGGAGGGGAATGTATGCTAAGAATTTGTTAATAAATCACAGTGTTAGATCACTAAACCATTGTGTTGTGGAAGGCCTAAGGCCTTGAGATAGGATTTAGAAGTGGTACAGTTAGGAGGTAACCAGGTGATCTTGGAGATACTGGAGATCACTGGATGCAATAAGGAAGTCTCTTGGGGTCTGGAGATGAACAGTATCCATCGCTGATGCATTAGGGACCTGGATTCATCACACTGGGTTTTGTAAATTCTTCAGAGGAACTAAAGCAACTTGCAATTGTTTTGAAAGAATTTCTTCTACCAGTTCATCCCATCATTGCATTTGGTGTGTGATATATATCAG